ACAAACATCAATATGAGAGAGAAACATCAAGATTAGTTGCCTCCTTTAAGTGCCCCTAGCGGGGATTGAATGGCAATCTGGGTATGTGCCCTGACCGGGAATCAAACTCTTAACCTTTTGCTGCCTGGGGGATGCTCCAACTCACTGAGCCACCTGGCCAGGGCAGGGCAATATTTCTTAAAATGTGGTTCTGGGACCCCCCATTTGAAATGTAAACGTCTTGACCTACTAAATCAGAATCTGAGGATGGGTACTGGGAAGCTGTATTTTTAAAGACACACCCTAGGTAATTTTTCTGAGATTTTCTAAGAACTACCAGTTGGGGAAGAGAGGTTTGAGATTTATAAGTTCTTGCATAGGACCTTCTCTGCTCTAACATTAATTAAGTAGAATTAGACATTTTCTCAATTACATGGATCCAAAATATACTTTGCTTTCTGGGTAAGTCAGAATTGGGAAATGGGGTCTATCTACTGCTCTACTGCCATCTTAATAGAGAGGTTTAAATTTGGAATTCTTTGAGAGCAGACACAAGCGGTTAGTAGCATTGCTGGGAATAGTGACAGCGTGACCTTGTAGGTAATTTGTCTTGGCTAGAAAACAGTTCCTTTGGAGGTGTTGTTTGGGTGGAATGCTGCCTAAATCATTGTTTACAACTTTTGATGAAACTGGAGTCCATGAACACTTGTAATACCCTGGAAGTTAAAGGCGCAAGTGCTTAAGTCAGACACACCTGTCACTTGCTATGTACATGGAAATTAAACAACTCAAAATCTTAGAATCTTCTTCTGTAAAATTGAGTTGCTACCAGTACCAGACTAATGATGAAAAATTGTGTGCAAATCATTTAGCACAGGGCCTGGCATAAAGCACTTACAGATGCTTATAGTGATGACTTCGCAAAAGCTCAACTATGTAAACTTGGGAGGTCAGGCTTTTCCAGTTGATTTTTCAAAGACCTTGTTAATTACCAGAAAAACCTAGTATTTGAGTAATCCCAAATTTTGTGTGTATGTGTGTGTGTGTGTGTGTGTGTGTGTGTGTGTGGGTGGTGGGGTGCTAGCTGTGGACTCATGTTTTTTGATATCTGTTGGTTTCATGGAACATCTAACCCTGACGTAACTTATTGAAATTCACCCTCTTGGGGTTGGTGTAGGACTAAATTGAATAATGTGAAGTATCATTTGCATACATTCTCTAGTTCCAAATAAAGTAAAAAATCATTCTTACACACACACACACACACACACACACACACACACACACAGACACAGCCTTAATCCTGACCACCTCTATAATACTTCTGGGGTGCTAGGTTCTATAAAGTTATTTTAGGTTCTAATAAATGTGACTTTATGATGGCCATTGCCATGAAACACATTTATATAACTTTTTTTGCCTTATTGGTAAATATTTTCTGAGTAAACTTACTTGTTACACTTTTCTCTAATTTAAACTTGTATCTGCTAAGTTATAGGTTTCTCTAGTGGCTTCTCAACTTTAGGAAAATAACCATCTCCCAGACACATGATGAAATCAGATCAAGACAGTTACCAGGAGCAATCGTTTATATTATCCAGTTGCATAACACACTTCGTGAATAAATGACATATCCTAATTTTGGATACATCACCAGATTCAGGTCAGAGAGTATCCTCTGCCAGTCAATCAGAGTGCGGGTCACTGGGAGATCTCTTCGTAGAATTTTTCTGAGGGCTTCATTTGATAACTCCTGTAATTCTTCTATGACTGCAGCTTGAAATTTATTTTCTTGCTCTTCCACAAGCCTTGCAAAACTTAGAGCCAGTTGAGCTTGGTTAACTATTTCCAAGCTTTCTTTCAGGTCCTTGGAGATTTCAATATGAAGGTTGACACTCTTGAAGTAGTGAGCTTGCACAAAAATTCTTCCTGTTACTTGGGTTAGAAATGGATGTACTTGGAAAATCCATTTAGATTTCCAAAGGCCATTCCAGAAATTTCTTGGTTCATAGCTGTGATTTTCAATGCAAGCTATCAAGAACTCCTTTCTGTTCACAGTTTTTCTTAGCACATTGCAGTTTCCTGTTGGATAGTGATCATTCACATACAGTTTCAAGGCACACAGAACAACATGTCTCAGGTACTCTGTCTCATTCCGAATGATACCGTGACTTTTGATGTCTTTTAACTGGTTTTGAAGCAGGTCAAATTTGAAAGAAAGTTTGCTGTGACAGTCAAAAAACCGGAAGTCACCCACTACATTGTGGTGAGACAAGAGGACTGGATTTCCATCGATGCAGAGTGGTACATAATATTTTTGGCAGTGTTGATGGCCTGCACACTCACCTTGATAGTGCATAAGTTTTTCATCACGGATAAGCAGACACAGATCATCAAAGGCATTTACAAATTCCCCTGGAGGAGCCTGTATTAACAGTCTGCGGATAATTCTTTCTTTCTCTTTCTTACTCAGAACAGTGAGTGACATGTTTGGTTGCAGCAGAAGCAAAGCTTCTGAAGTGAAGTGTGTTCAAAGAATGAGAAAACATTCCATGAGTCACCTTTCCCATCAAGGTGTTCAACATTCAAGCTTAAGATTACTGTGTCTACCCATGAAAACTGTTCATCTGGCAAGCTCTGAGTCTTCTGATGAAGTCATAAAGAACCTTTTTCTATGAAGTGTGGAACTTTTGATGATATCACAGTGGGTGCTCAGACCAAAAAAAAAACACACAAAAAAAACAATGACAGTCACCTGACAACGTGGTTCCCAGCCAACCAGTAATCCATATTTTGAAGATATTAAGAATTTAGCTTCCTGAACAGCCTTCTTCAAAAGTGGTGTGTCTTTGTGTACATTATATGTTGTCAGGGATCTGGAGAAGCAGCCCAGAGTTGCTAGAGAGTGTTTTGCAGCACTTTGCACCTTCGGGGACCACAGTGGCATTGACTTATACTCAGGCTATCAGAATAGCTGTCTTAAACCTACTGGAAGTATGGTGTGCTGAAAGGTTTGAGGGCTTTACACAAGATGGCAAAAGTAAAACAAGATTTGGTGGCAGTTCATGGAAAAATGCCAGGCAGCAGGAGATGCAGCATTTATAGACATTGTGGGTTGGGAGGTGGTCAGAACATAAGTAATAAGCCAGAAAGTTTCAAGGGCAGTGAAGTGCAAGGAGCACATCTTGTGTATTGTTTATGTGGAATTTAAGTGTGAGTCAACTCCGAAGAACAAAGACAAGGAATCACTGTGTGTTCTCTGCTTTCTCTCTAGAAAGGGGGCAGTGACAAGAGTGGATGAGTGTCAAGAAACTCCTTCCCTGCAGAGTTAATTATATCTGGAACGGTGACAACACCTAATGCTGAGAGAATTCTAAGCAAGGAGAAAGTGAATGACAGGTCATGAAAACATGGAGACCAAATATCCATTCAAAAGTCTTTTCTACTCATCTTTCCTCTTCTTTCTCTGGCATTACCTCCTTTACTCTCGTCTCATTCCTTTTGAAGATGCCTGAACTTAAATGGCTCTCATTTGTGTATAGACTTATTCCTTCCTTATCTATCCTGAGGTTTTCTGAGTTTCCCTAGCTTCCTGTATCTTTTTCTTATAAGAACACGAGATTTACCATATTAAGTCTTAGCCAGGAGATTTAAGGGCTTCTCATTAGTTCTAACAATCTGAAATTGAGTGAATTATTGAATAATTTTTACCAATACCTTTCATGATTTTATAGACTGTTCTGTTCTTTTCAACCTTAGTTTTTCAAATTGAAGTGTCTTAGTTTTGGTAGCATGTCTGTATATAATAAGTAAACTTGATTATTTTATTTTCCTCTTTCATCCAAATATACACTCATTATGGCATTTTAAACCCTTTTTGATGGTACTTAAAATGCTGCTTTTTGGGGCAAGTGTATAGCTGGACATTTGGCTAATGTAGTAACCATCAGATATGTTTATTATTTATTGAACACTCAGTAGCAGAAACTGGGTTCAATGATGTATTATGAACTCATTTAATGTCCCCACCTCCCCTAAGTATTAATCTGACCACTTTTCAGATGAGGGAACTGAAGCTGAAAGAGGTCAGGTGACAGGGATATCTTGAAGTACAGCTGCCTCCCAAGTCCATTTCTTTAGGCAATAGACTGTATTTTCCAAGTAGTGACTTGATTTCATAAATGTTTATTTTTTTTCTATAATTTTTATTGTGTTATGCCCTTTCATACCTTTACTATAGAATAGTACCTACTAAATTTTGTTTTAAAGATTATTTATCATGGAACTACCTTGTCATTTAAGCACAAGATAGATTATCCTTTAAAAATAAAAATAAACTCAAGAGAGATCAGTTTCTTTAGGCATTTTAAGTGTATTTAATGACTTGCTCTAAGAATTTCCTTAACTTCCTTTTTTTTGTTTCATACGTGGTTTTTGTCGATGATTGGAGAAGACTTTAGAGGTGGAAAAATTAACCTAGAAAAAACTCAGAAATTACTTGAAAAATTAAATGTTCAATGTAATTATATTCATGTGAAGTATATTTTTAAGGTGAGATGCTATCCACTCCCTGCTTACCCTACACTAGAAAGGACTTACCCAATACAGTGAAATGTCAATAGCTACTTGGATGCTTTTTGTAGAAAATACATATGAAAAATTAGTTTAAGAATTAAAGCAGTTAATTATGCTAAATATATTTATAATCAAGATAGAATTTAGATAAGAAGTAAAATGGTATGTTGATAAAGTTTAAAATAATACCAGATTATCGGCTTAAAACAATCTGTTTAATATACAGGAATATTCACATCAGATTAGGATTGGTCATATGATTAGATTAAAATCATATACATGATGAAGCGATAAATGAATTGGATATTAGTGATTTATAGAAAAATGGGTGATCTTCAGAAAAATTGCATTTTACTCTCCTCAAAGTTGAAAATCATGCCCAAAGTTCTCTTTGTTTAAAGAAGATCTGGTAGAAAGGGAACCTGGTTCAGTTCTGTCACTAGAGGACAGAGGGAGAGATTATGGATAAAATGAGAAGTCAAGTGTTTAGATGAGTTTTGCAAATTTTGCAAATGGTACATTTCTTGGAGAATTAGGCAAGACTACTAGACTGCCCAATCCAGAGAATTAGGAAGTTAGAAATCCTGATTATGATTTTGTTTTTTGGAAGTGAGTAGCCAGATAATACAATCTATGTTGAAATTGTTACCACTAACACAAATTAGGAAGCTTGTGTTACCTTACTTGCAAGCTGACCGGCTAGTCTGATGTAGTTTCAGGGATGCTGGCAGAGGCAGGATTGCTGTTCAGAGAAAAAAAAGCTTGTTACTCACAAAAATAGCAATTGCCAGAGTATCAGCATTTTGATGCCACTTTTTTCTAAGTCCCAATTCCTAAAGTGTGATGAAGTGAGGTGGCCCAGGTGACAGGTACAATGAATGCAATGGTTTGCATTACTAGAGAGCAACCTCAAGTTGAGGAACCCAGATCTTTTATTATGGACAGTAACTCTCTCTGACCTTTACCCAGGAGAGTGTCATCATCATCATCATTGCAGACAGTAAACCTTTTTATTTCTCTAGAGGGACATACTATCTCTTCATTATGCAAACATCCTTGAAAAGCTAGTCCTGAAGAAAGGATATTGGTGCCTGTGCTCAGAAAACGCACAGAAACACAAGACCAATGGAGAACTGCCTCCCAACAAACACTTCTTTCAATAAGATGTAGCCCCTGTATTTACAAACCACAAAGAGGAGGTTTATAAGAGAAAAGCTGTACTGCTCAGGAGACTGCAGTAAAAGACAAAAGTTTCAGAGTTGTTTCAATGAATCTTTGTAGCTTGTGCTGCAATAAGCTATCAGAATTTTAATCAACTCATGTCTAATAACACATCTGAAGAACACAAGTTTTTGTGAAAGACCCTCACACATAGAAATTTCCCCCAGTGGTATTGTCCAAAGGGAGAAACAGCTACATGCTTTAAGGTTTAATAAAATTCATATTCAACAACATATAGAGGTAGTAATTAAATCTGTATCAAATATACAATACTGTAAATCTTATGCAGTGGTTATTAGATTGCTTTGGATTATCTGCAAGATAGAGATATCGGTTTGAAATGTACTTGAGTGAAATGCATGCTATATTTAAAAGCATTATGTAGAATGCTCAATATTTAGAACAAATAAAGAAATAGCTCATTAATTGAAATTTATGATTATTCATAATGGCAGAGCTTAAGGTCTATTTTGTTTAGCAAAACCTTTTTGGGAGTGGCTATGAAAACAATGTTAATTATAAAAATTAGAGAGGCAGAGATTGACTAAAATACTTCAAAAACCTCTTTAAATTGACCCCAAATACTTTAGAAGCATAAATGACATGTAAATGAGGTTAATAGCCATGACAAATCATTCTTATCTATTACAATAATTCCCCTAGGCACTGTAATAAATAATGCTTGTTGCCTTAAGCTAAACTGCCATATATTTATTAAAATGTTGATTAAATAGAATTCTTAAGGAAGGTGTATTGGCTTATTGAATTTTCTGGATAGCTGAAGATTCAGCTTCTTAAATATCTCACTCTTCTGCTTCAACTTTTGTTGCTAATCTTTCCTCACTTTATGGGTATACCTTTTAGCCAGAGTAAATAAAATGAACCATAATGAATCTTATTTTGATGACCCAAATCTTCCAGCATCTCAGGGCTACTGTTTGTTATTAGTAAGCTCAGTGGGCATGGACATTCTTCACTCTATTAGATCTTAGCTGTGTGATAATTGGCAAGTCAGCAGTCTCTCTGACCAAACATCTTAATCTCCAGAGTGGAGATAATAATATAGCTATCTTGCAGGATTGTTCTGAATATCAAATAAGATATTATTTGTGAATGTACCTAGCAGTGAGCTTGGCAAAAAGTAGGCACTCAGTAAATTAGTTGAAGGTAGGTCTATCATGATTATTAAAAAAAATATAAACAGTTGAATTACATTTATTGATTTCCTAAGAAGCTGATATCAGTTAGGACACGACTTTATTTCTTTACAATATAAATGTTTAATTTAAAATTAGAGTAAAAAATATAGAGTGGTGGGCAAAAGTAGGTTAAATTACCAGCCATCATTACCGAAAAGATAAATTATAAGTAAGATAATGAAATAATAATGATAATAATAGTAAGACAAATAATACAAATAAATGATACAATAATTAGTAAGTAAATAATAATACAAGAATAAACTCTGTGTTTCACATACTCACAACTGTAAACCTGCTTTTGCCCATGCGGTATAATTCTATGACCCTAGCAAAATATTTTAAACTTCTTTTTTACAAAGTTAATTATTGAGTCATGGCTTGAGCAGCAATTCTCTAAATTTTTAAAAATCCTTTTATTTAAAAAAAGCTTTCTTGCTTTTATCATTATCTTTAATTTGTAGCATGTAAAGTATTTTATAAGAAATATGTATCATTTCAATGCATATAACCAATCTTAGATTATACCCTTAATTGTTGGCTGAGTAGAAAATAGTATCCTCTTAATTTCAAGAATTTGTATTATTATAGGACTTACCTTAATTCTTCAAATTCTCTAAGCAGTTAACAACCATTCCTAAATCTATAGTAGGTACATGCCACTCATTTAGAAACTTAGAAACTGTAAAAAATGAATAAAGTGTTCTCTCTTTCATGAGGAGGAAAAGAAAGGCAGAAATTACTGTTTTATAAGGAGATTATAATAAATCTCATAGGTAATACTAACAGGGAATCTGAGAAGACAGAGACTCTAATTTGGGCTTTTATAAGAGATGCCATGGTGGAGGTGGCCTTCTTCTTGGACACTGAAGAGTGAGAAGCAGTATGTATGGAGTGCAGTACGAGAAGTACTTGGGGAATAAAAGGCATTCAGACATGATGTGAGTATAGGATACATGAAGGGGAGTGGTGAGAAATAGCTACAAATACCAGTTCTGGACAGATAAGAAATCCTGAATGGTAGGCCTTGGAACTTGGATTTACTTTTGTAGGCAACAGGTAGCCATTGAAATATTTGAGTAGGGGAATAGTGCATACTTGAGGATATATGTGGCAGCACTATGGAACAGATTGGGCAATGGAAGGCAGAGACAAGGTAGAGTATTCCTCTGCTGCCTTGGCCCTACAAATCTGTAACTTGGATCGATTCAGCCACTTATATTTTTGTCTGGTTCCACTTCAAGTTTATGATTTCCTACCACAGTTCAACCAAGCTCCATTTTTAATCTTATATGAAAAATATGTAGCACCAAATCCTCCTTTAAATATTGTGTCTTTTCATAGAAAAACAAAAGAATCCTTTACATTTTTTTCTCCACTTCTTCAATGATCTATTAAAATAAAATTTACCTTCACACCTATTTTGGAAACCTCTTTATTTCTAAAATGCTAAATCTAATGATGAGGTCTCTCTGTGCATTTTATTCATCCCTCTTTTCTTAAACTTCTCCCTATTCTGACTTCTGTGACATCCCTGTCACCTAGTTTTTGCTTAAAATTTCTGATCTTTCCTTTTCACCTGTCCTGCCATCATGTCTTCTGCTCTCCTCTTAAAATTAAGTCCTTAATTTTCTTTGTTTTTACTTTACAACTCTTCCTGAGCAATCTTACTGATTTTTTATCCCCCTCCCCAGTTTTATTGTGCTATAATTGACATATAACATTGTACTAGTTTTAGGCGTACAACATAATGATTTGATATATGTATATATTGTTAAATAATCACCAAAGTAAGTTTAGTAAACATCCATCACCTCACATAGTTACAATTTTTTTTCTTGTGATGAGAACTTTTAAGATTACTTTCTTAGCTACTTTTAAATATATTATACACTATTGTTGACTTTAGTCACCAGGCTAAATAAGTTCTACAGAACTTATTTATCTCAAAACTGGAAGTTTATACTTTTTGATCACCTTCAAGTGCCCTCCTTCACTCTGTTTCCTGTAACCACCAATCTGTTCTCTCTGTCTACAAGTTTGATTTTTTTAGATCCACATATAAAGGAGATTATACAGTGTTTGTTTTTTCCTTTCTGACTTATTTCACATTACATGATGCCCTCAAGGTCCATCCATCATGTCATAAATTACAGAATTTTCTTCCTTTTTATGGATGAAATACATATCACATTTTCTTCATCTATTCTATCTGTTGATAGACAATTCAGTTGTTTCCATATCTTGAGTATTTTAAATATTGCTGCAATAAACATGGGGGTGCAGAAAGCTTTTCAAGACAGTGATTTTATTCCCTTTGGATAAATACCAAGAAGTGGAATTGCTGGTTTTTTAAAAATTTTTTGAGGAAACTCCATTATGTTTATGACCATTATTTGAACTCTTTGACAGATAAATCACTTATCTCTGTTTCATTGAAGTCTGTAAGGTTTTATCTTGTTATTTTGTTTGGAACATACTCTTATTTTCCTTCATTTTGTTTTACTCCCTGTGTTAGTTTCTGTGCCTTAGATAGAGCATCTACCTCTGCCAGTCTTAAAGAACCTGTCTCATGTAATAGATAAACCTCGTTGTTCAGCTAGGCCTTAGCTCTAATTTTTCTCAACCTTTGTGATTTTCCAAGAAGCCTACTTTATTCTTAGTGGCTCCTAGTCCTTGAGGGTGTGCCAAAGGGATGATCTCAGCACCTAGAAGCAGGCTAATCTGAAGCTGGATCCTCAGGCAAAGTATGAAAATAGATCTCTTTCAGGGAAGGACTGGGGAATGGTTGGGGGCCTCTGTTCAGTCTCTGTTCTCTGAGGCCAAGGGGAACAGCCAACCATGGACTTTCTCTTCACTTGCTACAGTTCTGTTTAACCCTTGAACACAAGCCCCATTGTCCACCAGAGCCAGGCTATCAAGGGATGTGTGCTCTGGGCAACAGCATGTGTGCACAAGCTCCCTCCCGTGGGATACCTCCAATCCAGAGCAGAGCAGAGCAGAGCAGAGGGACAACACAAAGTCTCTGGAGAACTGCAATTGTGTTAAACTTGTTGGGTTAAACCTGGCCTCCCTCAGAGGTAGACTGGGAATTGGGTGCCTCTCACTCTGGCTGTCTGTGTTGAGCCCTGGGGGAAAAGCCAGTCAAGAATTATTTCCTTGTTTGCTGTAGTCCTGTAGGACCTGCCAATGCAAGCCCCACTGGCTGCCAGAGCCAGGCATCCAAGGAGTTCACCCCCTCAGCCAGCTCTCTGCCCAGCTTCTTTCAGGTAGACACTGATGATCTGAAGTGAGGCAGAGAGAAGGCATGATGATGGCAGCCGCTGACCTCCCGCACCTCTGGGGAGGATTTCAGTTGGCCCCCAGTTGTGTATTAGATTAGAAGCATGACTTTCAGGCTATAGCTTTTAAGATGTTCAAATAGGCCTCTTGCAGGGAAAACTAGGTTCTTCAGTTTCCTGCCTCTGTGCTGAGTCTTGGGGGGATAGCCACGAGTCCTCGTGAGCCAGGAAGCACTGTTTACTGTGGCCTTGTGGGTCTTGTGGATGCAAGCCCCAGTTGGCTTTCAGACCTGCGTGTATTGGGGGCCTGTCTCTCACGCGGGAATCTTAAAAGTTGGGGCACTAGATACTGCGTCCAAAGCCTTCACTCCTCGGAAAAACTGGGAGTTGTGAGTGCCATCCTATGTCACCTTGCTGGGGTTGGGGATGATGGAGAGATTGTCTCTCAACCTCTCCTACCCTTTTGATGCGGGTTTTTTTTCATTCACACCATGTGTAGAATTTGCTCAACTAGTTTCTGGATTTCTTTTAGAGAAAACTGTACCATATGCAGCTGTAGATTTGGTGTGTCTGTGGGAGGAGGTGAGTTCCAGAGCCTCCTGTGCACCACCTATTGACTTTCAGTTTGCTTCAATTATTACTTTGATGGGAACAAAATGTTAAGTTTTCTATCATGAATAACAAAGCCATATATGTGATAAAATTTGTTCACCATATGCCATATTCTAGGCACTATATTAGGTTTTTGCACTTTATTTTAACAAATATCCAAGGAAGTTATTATTTGCCTCTTTTCATACAGAAGATATTGAGGATAAAGATATTGATGTAATCTGTTCATATTTCATATAACTGTGGGAACTCATGTCTGGGTATGTCTGACTCCCAAATCCTTGCTGTTGTGTTTTCTCCTGTAACACACCAATCTCCCCTTTCCATCCCAATCAAGTGTCTATTGGCTGTCTCTGCATGGATTGAACTTTAATGTTTAAAATGAAACTTACCTTTCTCTGCAAAACTTCATATTTTATTTCCAGCTCAGACTACTTCTTGGATTCCTCATATCAAACTCTCTGGTAATAACCATTGAACGTTTTGTTATGAAACGAAGAAGTCATTTCCAGCATGTTTGTCCCCTATTGTACCCTAGGGGTTCACTGTATAGGCAAAATTCTCAAAAGATGAGACACTAGGGTAGATGAGGTGAGGGAAACAGACATAGATAAGACATAACAATACATCAAAATCTAGACCTGCCACATCTTGTACATCTGCAACCTGCACAGCAACTGGATGACATAGGTAGTACTATCTATCCCTATTTTGCAGATGAAGACTATGAAGCTCAGAGAGTTTAATTCATGCATCCAAAAATCCCACATGCTTTGGAGCTATGAACATGTTAGCTCCATTTTGTCTACCAATTGTCAGCTTTCACCAAAACACAGTGGCCCTTCAGCACATGCTCCTTGCATTCAAGCTGTTTACAATGTAATGGGGAAGTTAAAATACAAAGGCATAACCCCTTTTGCAATTAAATATCCTTCTATGGTGCACTCCTGGGCCTCAGGTTTTAATTTGTGATACCATAATTCTACTAGTTATTCTAACTCCCCCCAACTCCAGACATTTCTGACTTCTCTGCCTTATGTGTCTAAAATTTTAATGTTTGCGACCTTCTGACTTCTTCCTTCATATTTTCACTGACACCTACCTGTTCTTTAGTTTCCACCTCCCACTTGGATTATATCCTCTCTGTTCCCTTAGATGCAATTCTCCATCTCTTCCAATTAGTAATGCACAAATAATACTACTAAACTTCTGCTTTTGCTAGTCATTTTCTTACTCAGAAGCTCACAGTGTTTCTGTAGCTTTTAATAACTGGACCCAATTGCTTCTCTAATCTCAAAAAGTTCAAACATGAAATTTCCAGAACAGCCAGGTGAATCCACTTTTTCTTATTGGAAGCTACCTTGTTTGTCACTGTCCCCAATCCTTTATCATATGCAGATTCTACTTCCTTAAGGCACTACCTAATTCCTGCCACTTCCCTAGTTTACAGTGATCTTGCATGCCTCTGATTTGCTCTGACATTTGCAATGCAGGCTGCATATTTGGCAGCATGGGATTACATACTGTCTAGCATGGTTTTAAGAAGGCACTGACATAGAGTGGAATAGAAAAAGGAAATGTGTATTTCAAAGACAAACTACAGTACTCGTCTTTTCCCAAACTTTCTTCCACTCCCACTGTGGCCACTAGGTTTTAAGTGGTGATGATCCACTAGCCTTTTCCCAACTTTGACATCACTTCCTGCAGTTTTATATAGTTTATCTGAGATAATCCAATGTAAGATTCATCTTCTTTCAAGTATAAGTTGCTATATACGTTACACAAATATTCTAATTTATTCGGTTTGTGTATTTTTTATATTCACAATGTGAGCCCACTAGTCATTTTTTTTTCAGTAGGATAATGACAGGCTGAAGCAGGGAAGAATCACCATAGAAGAATTCAGATCAATTTATCGAATTATTGCACACAGAGAAGAAATTCTTGAGATTTTCAACGCGTATTCTGAAAACCGGAAATTTCTTTTTGAAAAAGAGCTGACCAACTTTTTGACACAAGAGCAGTATATGTTTAACACGAATAAAAGTATTGCTTCTGAGATCATTGAAAAATATGAGCCTATCGAAGAAGGTATGCTTATATTTCAAAATTTTATCAAATATTTACATTCAAAGTACTTTTTATGAACTACAGTTATCCAATTCCAATTTTTGGATGGGTCATATTTCTTTTGGATAATATCATATATTGGTATTTTTGTTTTTGTACTTTATAGAATGTATATATATCTTTTAGAAAGCTACATTGAATAACATGGCTTTTTCCCCCCTTTTCATTGTCTAGCTCCTTTGAACTGCTTTTGTATATCTGCCAAGTGTTCATATATAAGCTTAGGGATAAAAAACAAGTTGAAGATTCTGTTCCATGTACTTTAATAGCAGAAAGTGTCTAAATATTCAATAATAGAAAAATCCAGGTACAGGTAGTCTTCAATTTTTATACATTATATTATTGAAAATATATATGAATATTAAATTGGCTAAATGAAAACAATTCCAGGAAAGAGATAACATATTACAAAATCACTAATTTCTCCACTGTCTCTACATATAATTGACTATGATATTTCATACACATATTCAAAATTTTGCTTTCTTCAGTTTTGAATACAGTCATCTGGTTTAAATTAAATGACCCCTTAGACCAGCGATTCTGAACCAGTGTGCTGCAAGAATTTTTAAAACATGCAATACCTGACTTTAGCCAGGGGCACTGACCTCTTTTCCTCTAGATTGTCAAATAAAAATGACAACAGCCAACACAATAGCCTTCTGGTGTGAATGAATCAAAATTATACTATTTTTTGTCAGATCGGCAAAAATAATATATTTTTTGGTGTGTTGCAGAATTTTAGTAATTAGTTTATGTGTGCCATGAGATGAAAAAGGTTGAAAATTGCTGACTTAGGCTGAAGACCTGTCATACAATTTTTTATCTTTGTTTCATCTTTTAGTGGATAAAAAAATTCAAAATTTTTAGTTATGCTCATTTTTAAATAAAATAATGAAGACACAATATAATAAAATATTTATATAATTGCCCAAGTAGCAATTAAGTTAAAGCATGGTGTTTAATCCTACAGAAATTAATTGGTAGCTAAAAAATCTATTTAACAAAGGAGGTATGAAAATCCAAATTCTGCCTTTGAAAGTTAATTTATAGCTACCAAAGTTTAACATATAATAGGGGTTTGACCAAAGCAAACTTACTGCTTCATTGAGTCACACATTCATAATTTATTCAAATATTTACTCGTGGCAACCAAGTATGTTTTTAGGGAATGGAAATACAGTGGAAAACAAGGCAAAGTAGATCTTATTATATTCCTGAAGGGGGTTGGAGGAATTTTGACAATAAAAGAATTAGACATATAAAAGGATAAGTTCAGCCCAGCCGGGCATGGCTCAGCGGTTGAACATCGACCTAGGATCCAGGAGATCGGGGTTCGATTCCCAGTCAGGGCACATGCCCGGATTGTGGCTCGATCCCTAGTTGGGGGCATGCAGGAGGCAGTGGATCAATGACTCTCTCATCATTCCTGTTTATATCTCTTTTTCCCTCTCCCTTCCTCTCTCTGAAATCAATAAAGACATATAT